TAAATAAATAAATAAATAAATAAATAAATAAATAAAATAAATGGCATAAAAAATTGTTTTAAAGATATTCTTCCTATTTTTTTCTAAAATCTGTACAGTTTCACTTTGAACACTTAGGACTTAGTGTGAAATGGATTTTGGTCTTAAATGTGAAGTAATGTTTAATATGTGATGTGAGGTATGCTTTGTGAATGCCCAACTGTCCCAAGATCTTTCCTTGCTCAACTGAAGGGCCACCTCTGTCTTATAACTATAAATGTACGAGTCTGCTTCAGAGCTCTCTATTCTGGCCTGTTCCTTTTTGTTTTTCCCTAATCCAATACGACGTCATCTTAATGTCTGTAGCTTTTATAAGTTTTGGTAGCCAGTGGTGCCCTTTGGTAGGCCTCCCCACTTTGTTCCTCAAGAGTCCTGGGCTATACACGTTTCAGAATCAGCTTGTTGGGATTTTCACTGAAACTGCATTGAATCTGTAGATTATTCTGGGGAGAACTGACATCTTAGAGATACTGAGTCTTTAAAAAATATGATTTATCTCCTCTTTTGTTTGTGCCCATAATGGAAAACTATAATTCGGTTCCTTTTCATGACTTCTGTTTCCTGGGGAGGAAGGTCTCTTCAGAAACTCAGCACACACTTCTATCTCCAGAGCAATGCCCATTTCTTCCTCTCCTTTGATTTGAGTCTCTGGCCAGTTTCCTTTCCTTGACCAGACAGTCCCCAGGCCATGAGGATTCTAAAGAACAAACCATAGACTTCCTAAGGGCCTCCCAACATGAACATCAACCAGCTAGTCTTCACTCCCCGTCGATTAGACACAAACATATCTGCTTACATTTTCACTAATTCCGTCTTTATCAGATCCCAGCAGCTTACATTCTGGAATGTTGGCAAAATTTCTTGGCAAGTGTTATGCTATTGGTGAATTCACATCCAGGTTCCTTGGTTCATCATCATCCCAAACGACATCTAGTGAGGGGTCTCTGTGTGCAAATACTTTGCCAGACTCTCGATGCACTTTGCAGAGCGGTGACACTGCCATCATGGCATCCAGGCTGCCCAAGACCCTGTTAGATAAGTATTGGTGGTATTGGCACCACATGGCTTTATACGTGAGGAAACAGAGACCTGAGAAGCTTCGAGAACTGGTCCAGAGTCACCAAACCCACATGTTTCAGAGACAAGCCTCAAACCCAGGCCCCCTGCCTGCAAATCCCACGTACTCAACAACAAGCCACACCGCCAACTCCCTCACAGTGGCCACGACAGGGGGAGGGGCGCCCAGCCCTTTCCATGACTTTCTTCTGTAGCCCTGTCCCACGCCTCTAGATTTATGGAGGCATTGCTGGTTCTCCTGGTCAGCTCACACGTACCACTAGCTGCAGAGGAGCCTGACACAAGACTTTGTGCACCTGCTATCAGTAACCCGGAAGAAGTTTCAGCAGGGTGGGAGGGAGCAGGGGGTGGGCCTGGGGAGTCCTGGGGGGGGCCTCCCCCTTGAACATCCTGGGATGTGGTATTTGTAGTTTGTAGACACTGCAACTGTGCAGACCCCTGCTCACCAGAGCTTGTTTTCCATTTAGTCTCCTGGAGGAGGACTCAGAGGAGGAAGGAGACTTGTGTCGCATCTGTCAGATAGCCGGGGGTTCCCCAACCAACCCCCTCCTGGAGCCTTGCGGCTGTGTGGGAAGCCTGCGGTTTGTTCATCAGGAGTGCCTGAAAAAGTGGCTGAAAGTGAAAATAACATCAGGTGGGTGGGGAAGGAGAAGCGGAAAACGTGAGCCAACATATAATTAATATGAGACACCACCGTGCGGGACTCCGAGCCTGGACAACTGTCCCCTCTCCTCCTAAGCAGTAGCCAGAAGAACCATGGCCCCTGACCCCAGGACTCTTGCTCACAGCGCTGATGGATAGTAGCGGGTCTAAATGCTGCCTTTAAATTATGGGAGGGAAATGAATTTGTTTCCCAAGTCTGAGAGAAGAATCTTGGCGATGCTATTAAATCCTACCCCACTTGAGCCCGAGCAGAGATGCTAAGATTCCCTCCCAGGAGGAAGGAAACTGAAATAGGTCAGTGGTTGCACCTCAGCAAAAGCACACAGCAGCCATGCCTGCTAATAGACACCTGGCAAAAGCAGTTCTGCTTCCTTTTATTTGCGGGGGAAGGAGGGTGTCACCTAAGAAACTGAGCAAAGCTGCGTTTTGGCAGTAGGGGCAGGGAAAGAGTGCTGATCTAATTTTCTAGAACCGTATTAGGTAAAGAGATTTCCGCGTGCTGGCTTTGTCAGCTCTGTCTTTTGCAGATCTTGTAACTGAATGTGAAGCCCTTTCTCAACTCCCTGGGGAGGTTATAACCTAAATACGGCCACATGGGGAGGTCAGCTGTGGTTTTCTTGGCAGAAAACAGGGGGTTTCTTTAAAACATGGTTTGAGGAAGAAGGGCAACTTGAATAACAACAACCAAAAACAAACAAACAAACCAAAACAAAATTAACAAACAAAAACAAACAAAAAACCCAAAACAGGAAACGGCAATGCAAAGAACCCATTACAAAATAGCTGCTATGTCTTTCAGAGACAACTCCCTGAAAACCTTTTACCCCATAGCTGGATCCTAGTTCTCTTCTCTCCGTGTTTTCCTCCTTGGTTATCACTCTTTCAGGCAGCCTGGGAGACCTAAGAGCTTTATCCTGTCCCCATAGGGAGTGGCCACGTCCCCTCCAGAGAAAGAGGCAGGAACCGTGGGCCGATCACATTACCCGTCTCCTCCCTGATCCCCTGTCCACCTTCTGCATTTTCCCGAGCAAGGGAAACAAACCTGGGCCCATCATCGAAGCTGCTTAAACACATCTCCATGTAGCGAGCTTGGTACTCAAGTCCTTCAGACGGGGAGGAAACGGGGATCTTGGCCGCTAATGACCCTGTCATGCAGTGTTTTATCTTACTGCAAATTTGGGCCAATTAAACATCTAGCACAGGAAAAGATCACTCATGAAATGTGCAATGAAAGCGCTGCTAACTGCTTGTAAAACGCGAGCATCAGTAGGGGTGTGTTGAGCGCCATCAAGATCAGAGGCACATGGGACACTCAGTAGCCTAAAGCACTACCGAGAGGCCCTAAAAAAAAAAAAATCAAGCAAACAAAATGCAGACACGGGATCACCATTCATCCTTGTCTTTTGATGTTCTCTACCATTTACTATTTCTTTACGTCCCCATTGAGGCAGAGTAGAACTGGGGTATAAAACAGCACCAAACCTACCTTTCCCAAATAAATGCAGGTAACTAACCAGGCCTCTAGTTTCTAATGCATGAAAATAAACACCAGGACATCATTAGCAAAACTGCAGCACCCACGTGCCAGGAAAAGCCGCTGGGCATGGTGTTTGCCTCAACACAGCACGGTTCTGCATCTTCCATTTTTGCTTTGGGGACCAGGATAAGCGGAGAAAAAATGCTGATCTAGAATAGATGTTAAAAAAAAAAAAAAATTAAAAAAACCAACAACCCCACAGCAACAAAGGAAGGCTTCTCATGTTTCTTTTCCCAGATGAGGCTGAGCTCAGTCTCAGGGGCTGGCCAGAGATACTGCTGTGCTAGTTCCCATACATGGCCCCCGGCTCCCTCACCCCCCCAGGAGGTCACCTGGGTGAGAGGAAAGGCAGATTTTTAAGCCACAGACTGAGAATAGCTTCTGCCATCAATGTGGTCCTCATTTATTTGCTTGGACCTGTGTTACGTCTGTCAGAAAAACAACAACAACAAAAACAACAACATAGGCCAATCTTCACTCTTTTGGCAAACACCTATGTTACAGATTCTCTGCCTCCATATAGCAACTCCAATTTTATGAAGCAGCGTGTTTATATTTAAACAGAAAGCAAGGCCTATTATTTAAAAGTCACGAGAATTTCACGTATACAAAGCTTGCATGCATAATAATGAAAACGATTACGAAGGAAATTTTCCAGATCTCAGATTCAAGGTCCTTTTCTACAGACAATGGCTGGCTTTAAAAAGGTCACTGAAACTCAGAATTCATAACAGACACAAGTTCACTCCCAAAATGTCAGCACAGAGAGACCCAGGGCTACATGTAACAAAGAATCCTTTAATTTCAGGAGCGGATCTAGGTGCCGCGAAGACCTGCGAAATGTGTAAGCAAGGCCTGCTGGTCGATCTGGATGATTTTAACGTGACCGACTTCTACCACAAACACCAGCAATCCCGGGTAAGAGACACTCACGCCGATCTGCTTCCACGGGTCAAAGTCAGTTAGAGGCAGCGCATGGTAGGAAGACATGCTTTCCCTGATAAAGGGACAGTATTAGGCCTGTGCATGGCATGAGTCTGGGAATGTCCCCCCCCCCACCCCGGCTGGCGTCTCCAAGAAGGTCTGCTACTAAATCAGGCCATCAGGAGGTTTCGAAAGTCTTGGTCACCTGGGGTTGAGGTCCCGCTGTTGTCAGGGGCAAAAGTAGGAAGGCAGAGTAGCCGACTGGACACAGAAACAGGAATACTCTGGCAAGCTCCATGCCCCGATTTGCTGAAGTAATTTAAATTTAATAGCGACAAGGGAAAAAAAAATCAGGGTCTTGGAAAAAATGGTCCCTAATTTACATAGCAAGTAACTCTAGGGTAATAAGAAACTGCTTTACTGTTTATTAACAGGTAGTAAGCACCTAGTGTGTGCTTTTTAACACCCGGTGAATTAATTCTCCTGGGGCATTTGGGTTGCAATTCTAATACTGTGAAAAAGCTAGTGGGGCACCTGGGTGGCTCAGTCGGTTAAGCGGCCGACTTTG